ATTATTATTTGTTAATGTGGGGGCTATTCCCATTTGGGCAGTTTATAGAAAAATGGTAAGCCAATGTGCAATTTAGAAAGGAGGAATAACTGAATTTTGTTACAGTCTACATTCTCATTCCACAAACAAAAAATATTCTGAACACTACAGGCTAACAACATATTGCCTTTTACTGTGAAAAACAAAGTTTTACTTACCACTTGAATTACACCTCTGCGTCCTTAACTTGTATTTTTTCTGCTGCATGGAATGCCCTTCCTCTTTTTTGTCCATTTGCAAAATACCTCTCCCACCTTAAAGACCCTGGTTTAAGACCTTTTTTGTCCCATAAAAGCTCATCACTCCTTTTGTCATTACTGTCCCTGCTGTTGGGGAGATGCCACATTAATGACAATTGTTTAAGTTTTCTGTTTTCTTACTAGATTGTGACCTGCTTAAAAGTAAAGGGTGTCATAAATACTTGTTTAGTGTGTGAATGAAAGGGGGCTTTCTGAAATGACCTGGCATTGCTTAATGAAAGCCTACTAAATTTTTAGGCTTAGTTTTATTGACTGGTAGCTAGCTGGCACTATCACTTCTGGCTCCTGTTACTTCTGGGTTATCACAGGACTCTGGTTAAAACCCACAATGATGTTTGAACATGATTTATTTAATGTAACTCTATTATAGGAGTTCTTCAGTTGTGCCAAGCTTCGAGGAGACTCACTCAACTTAAAGTGTAAAGGTTCACATTTTTAAAAATAGAGTAATTATTCAGTTTCAGAAAAACTTGATTGCATGAATATCTTTAGTGTTTGGTTTTAGTGTGTTTTAAATTATTAAAAATAGGAGGAAGCATGATGTAATGGAAGCAGCAATATAGTGAAATTTGTATTTAGGGTTCCAGTTCTGACTCTAATACCAATTCTGTGATTTAGGGACAAGTTTGAAAACCTCTTTGAACTTTAGTTTACTTCTCTGTAAAAGTGTAGTTTGTATTACATGATATTAAGTAGTATACAACTTTAATATCTATTTTTAAAATGTGTTTATATAGAATTTTAAGAATGAAGTTTGTGGGGGAGGGACAAGTGTTTCAAATAAAGAAACCAGCTAAATTGGGTTGATTTGTTTAAGTTTTATAATATTTACCCAAGGTATTTGTATGTTTCTGTTGTTATTTTGGACTTTTTTTTTTTTTAAGATTTTTTTAAATTCAGTTAGCCAGTTTATAGTACATCATTAGTTTCAGATGTAGTGTTCAGTAATTTATAGGTTGCTTATAACATCCAGTGCTCATCACATCACATGCCCTCCTTAATGCCCATTACCCAATTACCCTATTCCCCCCACCCACCTCCCCTCCAGCAACCCTCATTTTTTAAAGATTTATTTATTTATTTTAGAGAGGTGGGGGGAGGGGCAAAGGGAGAGGGAGAGAGAATCCAAGCCGACTCCATGTTGAGTGGTGAGCCTGACATAGGGCTCGATCTCATGACGCTGAGATCATGACCTGAGATGAAACCAAGAGTCACCTGCTTAACTGACAGTGCCACCCACGCTTCCCTGTTTTGGACTTTTTTTTTTTTAGTTCATTTGAGA